AAGTATCTTCAATATCTTGTCAAATGTTTATTCATTTTCATAGACTTGGTTTTGTAAATTGTCTTATTCGACAATCACTTTCAATAGTTACTAGCAACTCTATAGTATCTTCATCATTCATACTCATTTGTATCGAAGGCAGTGGTCCATCTAATTATTTACTTACACTTCGTCACACAATGCCAGGAACAATTGATATTATTGAAAAATTACCTCCATTTTTTTATCTTGTTCGAGATGATGATGTTGTATCTGATCATCTTGAAGTAAAAAATGTTATACATATATTTACAAAAATAGTTGAACATGAATATGTGAAAGAACTACAAGAATTTTATTATAATATTTACTTATAGCTCATCCATTGAACGTAATTTAAATATTGCTGATGAGATAACATCAGAAAACGTTTTTGTTTTTTACTAAAGATTTTTCGTGAATGATACAATGGCAAAATGAAAACCAAGCAAAATAATTTTTAAGTCGGTATAAAAAAAGAAAACAATTTCAAATAGATGTATCAGAAAATATTCAACTTTAATCACAACTTGATTGTACTCAAAATACATGTTTTCATCTATTGATGACTTAGCTAAAATACATGTTACTGATGTTGTAGCACTTGATACACTTCGTATAAGTCGAATACATGTGATACTTGTTGGTAAACGTAGACCAATGCGAATATCATTTACTTATAAAAGAACTTTGTGAACTTACTAAATTAACTGGCTTACAATTAGTGTTAAAGTAATATTGGAATTGATTACAAAAAAATAGTTCATTCAAAAATGAAAGTAACGATCTGTATAGATGAGTTAATGTAATCCAAGAAAATTCAACTAGTCCATCACTGTTGCAATTAAAATCCAATAAGTGTCTGACTCCAATCGGATCACAAGACTTTTGACCTATGTCGCACGCTACTGTACAATATGAATGATTTGTTCAGTACGGGGCTGCCAGATCTTCCGAATTTTGAATATTTTTTCGAGACCTGTTATTTCACTAGATTCGAGATTTAATGACTTTGGTTATAACTTCTAATTTAACTTTCATTAGCAATTCATACGCTGTCGTTGTTCTACTGTGATCATTCCATAATACAATTTTGAGACTATTTATAATGTAAGATCGTTAGAGTTTAAAATCTATCCGAACTCAATGAATACTTTGTATTGTTTAAAAAAAATGTCATTTGAATCAATAACTTCTTTGACATGAACTGAACTTTAAGTTTAAAAAAGTGTATTTTAAATGAAAATTGTCTCTTGTTATCCTGAATTAAATTCAGCCATGAATGATGAAGATGATGATTCAGATGTGAATTTAAGTGAGATTGAAGAAAGAAATAAGTATACCGGCAACAATTTTTGCACAAAATGTTGATAGAGCAACACACATGTCCATAAAAAAGGTGGTATATATATTTGATAGTAAAACAACTGCTTTCCGAACTTTTTCCGAAGTAGAATATAAAAAAATCCGAATTTTTTTCGAATTTTGGTTAAAACATTTCGATCTGACAACCTTGCTTTAGTACGAGAAGAATTCCGTTATAGTCTACGAAAACTGAAATACATCAAAAACATTAAATCTCGTTAGGCTCCATATATTTCTTTTCTAATGGCTTTATTCGACTGATAAATAACAAGTAGAAAAAAAATTATTCCTTCTTTTTGAAAACTATTGTTTGATTATTGAGAAGTGAGTTTATATTCAGACTTTGCTATCGTATCGAACAATCAAACAATGTTTGTAGAAAAAGTATACATAGATTTTTTTTCTTAAGTATATGACGAGTAAAATCTTGGAAAAATATCGAGTCTGTTGATACTTAATCATTTTATGATGTTGTTTTTTGCAAATATAGTTTTTGCGACAATAACATTGGTCGAGTCTATTAACAACAGAATATTTTCACAAGTAACTCAACAGACGCTATAATTTTTTTTTAACTAGTAAAATATATTTCATTGAATAATTATCTTACTTGAATAATATTTAATAACATTGTAAAATTAATATTAATTTTCATTCGATTTCTCTTATATTCCATTCCAATTAAATACTAATTATATATGTTAATATTTTGCTTTTTATAACAATATTGTCATCTAATACATACTCATTTTTATTAATATTAAAATGTTTCCGAATTTGGTATAGTATTAATTCATATTTTCGTTTTAATAGTTGTACTGAATAATAAATCAAGTAATGGACTATTAATCATATGTTGATGATGAAAATAATAAAAATGAGGAAACCTGACGATGTTATTGTTTAATTATTAGTTAAACTAATTGTACACATGGATTTATCAACATTATTCATTAAACATAAAATTCTCCAAATCACTAAAAACATTATTATATATACATTTTTTAATCTTTTTTCTTTATTGATTAATACATACTTGTACATGAATAACAAATTGTTGATCTTGATGTGTATAGAATAGATATGTCGATATAAATAAATTTTTATTCAAAAGAAGAATATATCTTGTTTCATTCTTTTCTGTTGTAATAAATCCACCTAACAAAGTAAGATTTTTTCAAACTTCTGTAATGAATTATTTTGATCTAAAATTTTGTTGATATTTAGATATGTTCATCCAAAAAGAATATTATTGTAAAAATTTAAGTGTTTAAAAACTTCCATTGTGTTGTTTTCTCGACAGTCTATGAAATTGAATCAACAGTTTTTAACATTAAGTATGTCTACTTAAGTAATAGTTCGTCTGATGTAATATATTTTGTATTTTATCACAGCAAATAAAATAATTATACATAAATGTTGTTATTGATTATCATTAATAAAAATAAACAAAACAATTTCATTTTCATTCCAAATAAGATACAATCTAAAAGAATTCATAAATAAATCATTGTTCATGTTGTCATCATTGACGATCAATGATCAACATGTACAATTAAACATGTATATCATTTTCGACGAGAGAAAAAAAATGATTTTTCAAGATATAAATACGAATGATTTTCTATGTAAAATCATTCAAATTTTTGCATCAAATAATAATAATTTTTCTTTTCTGTTTTAGATTGGCTTCAACCAAACAATATGAAACAATTCAACGACAAACCAGACAATAAAATAAAATGTAGGTATCAGTTTTTATTTTTTTTAATTTTTTTTAATTTTACGATCATAAGGATGGTAGGGTAAGGCCTCCTTTGATCTTTTTATTATTTTTTATTTTATTTTAAAGAATAAACAATGTAGAAAAAGATAACATTAGGGTAAGTCATCTCATACTATTTCATTAAATAACATTGATTAAATTTTTTTTTCTGTTCCTTTCAGCTATCAATATCATCGCGTCATCAACATCAGACACGGTAAGTAATTTTTGTTTTGAGATGAGAATAGGTAGTGAGATTGAGGGGTTAGGGTGAGGCTAAGAAAAGTGAGTGTTAGTAGAGAGTGGGTGAGCCATGTCCATTGAGGTTAGGTCCCTGTTAGTTACAGGCCTTCCGGGTAGGCCCTAAAAACCCGGCCAGGAACTGTCTTGGTGTCCGTGACACACGACCAGGCTTATTCAGACTCATTGACATATCTCTCGCGGGGAGGGTATGAATGATATGAGTCTGTCCTGTGCGTGCATGAGCATTACGCTCGCCACGGCTCCGTCAGGATGATTCCTGGTCGCGCGCGCGCGAATAGAATAAGCCATTCATTTCATCAATTCAATGTGATTTATTTGAAACGAAAGGAACGCAAAAAAAATCTATCACGACGAGCCTATTCGATTGAAAAACGTTGAACACGAGAATTCCCATAATCGACGACATAGAGATTGCCATGTCGATCGAAGGACAAACCGATGGGACCGTTGAACTGATTTTTTCCTTTTCTTTCACCATTTCCACCCACAATGATAGTGCCCTGTTTCGCTCCTTTAGGCCAACGCATTACTCGATTATTCCCAGAGTCTGCCACATAGATGGTACCCAATGTATCGGCGAACAGCCCTTGAGGATTCGACAATTGTGTCAGAACATTCCCTTCGCCTTGACCTCCAGCGACGATAATTCCTTCTTTTGCACCTTTATTCCATTTCATTACACGATGATTGTTTTGGTCTGATACGTAGACAGTCTGTTGTTGATCGACAAAGATGTAGCTCGGCTTGTTGAGTTGATTGAGACCATCACCTTCGTCATTGCTACCAGCCACGATAATTCCATTCTTGTCTCCTATTTGATATCGTCTTACTTCATGTTTGTCGATGTCAGAGATGTAGAGATATCTCTGATCATCCATGGCCAATCCATAACACTTGGTATGGTCGATGAGGATTTCTCCTTGAACTGTGCCACTACGACGAGACCATCGTACGACTCGTCGATTCTCCGAGTCACAAATAATGAGACTATCCGTCTCTTTGTCAATCAACACATCGGTTGGATAACACAATTGATCCAATCGTTTTCCTTCGCCATTGCCACCAGCTACTATTTGTCCATTCGGGCCATCCATATTCCATTGGATGATACGATGATTGCCGTAGTCAGCGATGACTATCGTTTGATCATCATCAACGAAGAGACCATAAGACCCGAGGAGTTGATTGGTGGCACTGCCTGGTCCATTGCCTCCAGCAATAGTCACGCCGTTCTGTTTCCATCGGGAATTGGCTGGAATATTTGGAATTACTATAATGAAGGAAAAAGAAAAGAAATCGTCGTTGTTGAAGGGATCTCGTCTCTTGTGGGAGCAAGCGCTAGAAATACGACATTCGTCTTCGAGAATGCTCATTCCACAGATAAAAATTCAGAAGTCTTTTCCTAGTTTTCTATGAGAAAAAAAGGATTTGGTAACGATTCTTACATCTATGTTACTTCTAGTTTTTGCCAAGATCTTTTTGATCATAAAAATAACACCTGGAGATTGCTGTAAGAAGGTTCTCAAAGAAAGAGTAATACTAATTCTATGTAAGTTTTTGATAGAAAAACATAAGGATCTGAGAATTTTATTCAGAATTGCAAGAATTCAGAATCTTTTTGGCAGAATGATCATTTATATGAACATCAGAGAAGATTCTATCTACGTGTTGTGAGAAGAATATCGAATCGTTGAACAACATAATATCAAACTTAATCCCTATGTTTTTTAGGAAACCTTACGGATACATGATTTTTCTGTATGATGAATGTAGATCTGCCGAAGAATCTCCTAAGTATTTGCATAGGCTTTTGGTAAGTTATGTGAAGCTGTTCGAAGAACAACCGTGATGTACTCTGAGTAAGATCATGAGAAGGTTAGGATACAGGCGGAATTGAACAAAGTTGAGAGGATTCCACGCGAATCTATTTAATCTGAGGGGACT